CCTGACAAGGAGATTGTTATGGGAGGGAAGGGGAAGGGAAAGGGAAAGGGAAAGGGAAAGGGAAAGGGAAAGGGGAAAGGAGGAGGAGGAGAAGGAGAAAGAGGAGGAGGAGGAGGAGGAGAAGGAGGAGAAGAAAGGAAGAGAAAAAGGAACAGGAGGAAGAGAAGGAGGAGGAAAAGGAGGAAGAGAAGAAGGAGGAAAAGGAGGAAGAGAAGGAGGTGAAAAGGAGGAGAAGGATAAGGTGGAGAAGGGGAAGAAAGAGGAGGGAGAAGGAGGAGAAGGAGAAGGAGAAGGAGAAGGAGAAGGAGAAGGAGAAGGAGAAGGAGAAGGAGAAGGAGAAGGAGAAGGAGAAGGAGAAGGAGAAGGAGAAGGAGAAGGAGAAGGAGAAGGAGAAGGAGAAGAAAGAGGGGGGAGGAGGAGGAGAATGAGAAGAAGGAGAATGAGAAGAAGGAGAAGAAGGAGAAGGAAAAGGAGGAAGAAGAGAAGGAGGAGAAAGAATACATAGGGGGAAAAGGGGAAGAATAAACTTCCAGGACTCCATCCACCCATCCTGGTGCTGATCAGAACAGCTTTTCTCGCTGTCTTGGAATGAACACGGGCAGTGCCAACACTGGGGGCTGGACAGGAAGGACAGGACAGGGGCAGGTTTGTGGTGCCCCCCTGGTACATTCCCAGGGGCACAGAAAGCTCCACCAAGCTGGGCAGAAAGTCCCCCCAGCCCAGCCCAGGCCAGAGTGTTTTGCTCAGCGTTGCATTTTGGGAAGATTTATGGCTCCTGCTCCAGGAATTCAGCAGATGAGTCAAGCAAAAAGTGTCTTTTTGCTCCCAGCTGGTGACCAGAACCACCGAGAAACGAAGGGATTGGGTGGGTTATAAAAGCAGGATGTGACAGAGCTGGGGATTGATCCCAACCCCTCGAATCCCTGAGGGCTCCAAATAAGGTTGTCAATGAATTTTACCCCCCCGTGCCAGGAGTGTCAAGTTGAAATCAAGCTCTCTGGATTCCTTTACCCCACATCAAAGAGCAACTCCAGATGTTTTGCTTCACCAAACCCAGCCAAGCCACCTTCAGGTGGGACTGTCAAGCTTGGCCTGATGCTCCTCTGGTGACTATTTGCAAATAAACCTTTAAAAGGTTTGAACATTCAAAAGTAACCTGTAATTTGCCTTAGAGGGGATTTTTTACACATATAAAAAGAGCACAAGCCCTTTGTATATATAAGGGACACTTGGACAGGCAAAGTTCCCATCCAAGCCCGTTGCAGCTTAATTATTAATGCTTTAATAGGTATTTCAGGATGAGAATCCTCTTAATTAATGGATATTAACTCCCTCTATGTTAAACATCCAGTATTTAATTCTGAATCCTTGCTCTCCTCCAAGGAATGTTTGGGCCAAGTCATCCCATTCATGCAGAGTGTCCTGAACTGGGAGGAAAAGCTGATCCAGAATAAAATTAACGGTGGTTTTTTTGGGTTAGTTTTAACTCCAGAGGTTTTTACTGTGTATTTTTAATTTCTGCCCAGCTTGGTGGAGCTTTCTGTGCCCCTGGGAATGTACCAGGGGGGCACCACAGACCTGCCCCTGTCCTGTCCTTCCTGCCCAGCCCCCAGGGTTGGCACTGTCCGTGTTCATCCCAAGAAAGTGAGGAAAGCTGTTCTGATCATCACCAGGATGGGTGGAGGGACTCCTGCAAGCTTTTTCTTCCCCTTTCCCCCCTCTATGTATTCCGCCTCCTTCTCCTTCTTTCTCCTTCTCCTTCTCCTTCTCCTTCTCCTTCTCCTTCTCCTTCTCCTTCTCCTTCTCCTTCTCCTTCTCCTTCTCCTTCTCCTTCTCCTTCTCCTTCTCCTTCTCCTTCTCCTTCTCCTTCTCCTTCTCCTTCTCCTTCTCCTTCTCCTTCTCCTCCTCTTCTCCTTCTCCTTCTCCTTCTCCTTCTCCTTCTCCTTCTCCTTCTCCTTCTCCTTCTCCTTCTCCTTCTCCTTCTCCTTCTCCTTCTCCTTCTCCTGCTCCTTCTCCTTCTCCTTCTCCTTCTCCTTCTCCTTCTCCTTCTCCTTCTCCTTCTCCTTCTCCTTCTCCTTCTCCTTCTCCTTCTCCTCTCCTTCTTGCTCCTTCTTCCTTCTCCTTCTCCTTCGCCTTCTCCTTCTCCTTCTCCTTCTCCTTCTCCTTCTCCTTCGCCTTCTCCTTCTCCTTCTCCGTCTCCTTCTCCTTCCCTCTCCTTCTCCTTCTCCTTCTCCTTCTCCTCCTCATTCTCTCCTCATCCTCCTCCTTCTCCTTCTTCTTCTCCGTCTCCTCCTTCTCCTCCTCCTCCTCCTCCTCCTCCTCCTCCTCCTCCTTCTCCTTCTCCTCTTTCTCCTCCTCCTCCTCCTCCTCCAGCCAGGAGCTCTCAGGCAGATGGGAGGTGCTGAGATCCATCCCTAGGATCCGGAGTGATGGTCCATGACCCATCCCTGCCCGTTCCCACGTTCCCGGTGCTCCAACCCGCAGGGGAGGTGTTTGTGTTGCCCCCACAAGTGCAAATATTTGCCTCGTTCTCCCAGGAAAACTTTAACTGCAGAGCAAATAAAACCCCCCAAACCCGTGTCAAGCCGAAAAATCGGCTTCTTTGCCACCAGAGGTTGGGTTTGTTGGGGGGTTTTCCCTCTGGGAAGTTCTGTTCCATGGAATTTTTAGAGGTATTAGGAAAATCCTAAATCACTGCGGTTGGAAAAGATCTCCACAATCAGCAAATCCAGCTTTTAACCAAATCCCCCATTCCCACTAAACCAGATTGTAAAATGTCCCGTCCACTCCTTGTTTGGCAAGGTTTGGGAAGGTTTGGGAAGGTTTGGGAAGGTTTGGGAAGGGAAGGGAAGGGAAGGTTTGGGAAGGGAAGGGAAGGTTTGGGAAGGAAAGGGAAGGTTTGGGAAGGTTTGGGAAGGTTTGGGAAGGGAAGGGAAGGGAAGGTTTGGGAAGGGAAGGGAAGGTTTGGGAAGG